TATCATTGGCTCTTGATCATATACTAGCTCTTGAAACGGTTGAACGTTAACCATTTCCTTTTGGTACAGTGACTCTGTGTATTCCTTCCATCTCCTCTTGATGCTTTCTGCATCATTCAATAAATTACCCAAATAATCTTTCAATAACGAAAGTCGAGGCTTGAATTTTTCCTTTAGTTCCCCCAGCTTGAGAAATGCTGAGTGTGTTCTTCCTTTTTGGTTTTCTGATTCCAGATCTTCACACATTTTGTTGTAATATTTGGCTTTATCTTTTCGAGATGATCTTTGAAATATTCTGTTCAGATCTTGTACCTCATTTCTTCCATTTACTTTAGCATCTCTATGCTAGAAAGCAAGTTTCAGTGTCTCTTCTGACATCCATTTTGACCATTTCCTTCTTTCTTTTCTTATCAATGACTTTGCTTTCTTCATGTATGATGTTCTTGATGTCATCCCACAACTCTTCTGGTCTTTGGTCTTTGGTCTTTAGTGTTTAATGTATCAAATCTGTTCTTCAGATGATGTCTAAATTCAGGTGAGATATAGTCAAGGTCATGTTTTGGCACTCGTGGACTTGTTTTCATTTTCTTCAGCTCTAGTTTGAATTAGCATATGAGTAACTGATGGTCTGTTCCACCGTCTGCCCCTGGCCTTGTTTTTACTGATGATATGGAGCTTTTCCATCTTCTCTTTCAGTAGATGTAGTCAATTTGATTTCTATATATTCCATCTGGTGAGGTCCATGAATATCTCTTATGCGGTCTAAAGAAGGTATTTGAAATGAACAAATCATTGGTTTTGCAGAATTCTATCATGCATTCTCCACCATCATTTCTATCACCAAAAGGCCATATTTTCCAACTACTGATCCTTTCTCTTTGCTCCCAACCTTTGCATTCCAATCACCAGTAATGATCAGTACATCTTGATTGCATGTTTGATCAATTTCAGATTGAAGAAGTTAGAATTCTATTTCATCCTCACTTGCTTTAGTATTTGGTGTGTAAATTTGAATAATAATGGTATTAACTGGGGTTCCCTGTAGGTGCATAGATATTTTCCTATCACAGCATTGTACATCATGACTGATCTGGATATGTTCTTTTTGACGATGAATGCAACACCATTCATCTTTAGTTTGTCATTCCTGGCTTATTAAACCATGTGGTTGTCAGGTTCGAAATGGTCAATACCAGTCCATTTCACTTCACTGAAGCCTTAGATATCGATGTTTATGCATTCCATTTCATTTTTGACAACTTCTAATTTTC